TCACTTTGCTGAAGGTTTTTCTCCATCATGAATTGCACTGCCACTCACGGTACACATAACCAACCATGACTTCAGGGCTGCAACTAATTATCTCAGTTAAGACATGAATAATAAACACTTTTCTAAAAGGTGAATTGGTGTTTCAAAACTAAATGGGGAATGGTTTGCTTGAGACATTTTATTCTGTCAATTACAGCTCTACATGAAATCACCTTTAAATGACACATTTCTGTACTTTACACATACAGAGAAATGTTACTGAAAGCTGTTATTTATTGCGTCTTCAGATTGTTCACAACTAAACCTGCTCCTGAGGAAAAACATGGTGACCTCTTTAATCCAAAACGATGGTCCTGAAATCAAACCATGACTTCCTCGTGTCATTTGTTTAGGGACTCTCAAATTTAGGGACTATTTCCAACTACAGACCAGAATTTGGCCCTTGTATTCAAAGATCTTGCTAAAATCTGCAAATTGAGCAGACAATCTGATTGTAAAGAAACCAACAGTTTTGCAAGTTTGGTTTGCTGCTGGCTTTAATTGAACCAGTTCAAGGATATTGATCAATTTCTGCATTTTACTATATTTTATTTCTTACACCGCTTTCTATTGTAGTGACTTAATGTTTCAATGAATGTTCTTAAATCTCCTTTACTTTAGCCTTATGTTTAGATGCTTTTAATAGTTTTGTGTGAAGCACTTTGAATTACCTTGTTGAAATGTGCTATACAAATAAACTTGCCTTGCAAAGTAGCTAGCAACTAATTTATTTGGAGGTCAAACTTGAAGGGAGTGCTCCTGAAATTATTGCAGTGAGCTCAAAGCAGAAAACCGTACGTGTACACTTGCAGCAAGCAAACTGAAGTTTGGGTTGTAGTCTTATTTAAAATAACTATTTGACTTCAACGACACTACCCAGCAGAGGCTGGTGTTCAGTATTTATACTTTTGTATTCTTAGCCCGAGGGCCTGGTGAAAACATGTACATTGCCTATAAAAATATTCACCCCCTGGATGTTTTCCCCTTTTGCTGCTTTTATACATGAAATCAGGGTCGATATTTTTTTGACAATTTGCAAAAAAAGCTTTCATGTCAAAGTGAAAACAAATTTTTACAAACTCAGTGTAAAATAAGCATTTGCATAAATATTCACCCCCTTTTGCCTTTACCTAATTCAACAGAGGTCCAGCTCGTTGATGCCAGCAGTCACAATTAGTGGAATGGAGATCACCTGAGTGCAGTTGTGTCAAGTGATCGTAGTATAAACACCTGTCTGGGAGGTTCATCCAGTGTTCCTCATACAATTGCAACATGAAGACAAAATAACACTCCAAGCAACTCAGAGAAAAGATCATTGAAAAGTATAAGTCAGGAGATGGCTACAAAAAGATTTCCAACCCACTAGACATCCCACAGAGTTCAGTTCAGTCCATTAAGAAATGGAAGGAGTGTGGCCCGTCCTCACAAACAGTGACCGGGCAAGAAGAGAACTGATGAGTGAGGCCAACAAGACAAAAATTTAGCTTTTTGTCCATCAGACTAGACGTTATGTTTGGCGAACACCAAACACTGCATATCATCGCAAACACACCATCTCCACCGTGAAGCATGGTGGTGGCATCTGGGGATGCTTCTCAGCAGCAGGCCCTGGAAGGCTTGTAAAGTTAGAGGGGAACATGAATGCAGAAAAATATCGCCAAATCCTGGAGGACAATCTGACTCAGTCTGCAAGAGAACTACGACTTGGGAGAAGATTTATTCTCCAGCAAGACAACGACCCCGAGCATACAGCAAAAGCTACACAGAAATGGTTCAACGACAAGGTGAATGTTCTGGAGTGGCCAAGTCAAAGCCCAGACCTCAATCCAATCCAGAATTTGTGGCTGGACTTGAGAAGAGCTGTAGAATTGCAGTGTCCAGATGTGCCAGCCCGATTAAGACATATCCCCACACACTCAGTGCATCTACTAAAAACTGACCTGAAGGGGGTGAATGTATGCCATCATTTACTTCACCTTATTTTTAATGATTTTGTAAATCTTTTTTCACTTTCACATTAAGGTTTTTTTTGCAAATTGTCAAGAAAGCCAAATTATAGCTGTGATAAACATTTTCCTTTTGAGTACAATTCCTGTAAGCTCTTATGCAGAAGAAGCCATTTTTTTTTATTTGTCAAAAACTGAACTTTAACTTGAGGGTAAAATAGTGCACGAGTTTTTGCTTAGTTTCCCCAAACAGAAACACTGCTGTGCTGTAGTTTATCGGGGGGGAGAAGAAGAAAAGTGCTTTCCATTTTTATATTTTATTGCAATTTATTCCTTTACAGTTGTGAATAGTATAAAAAAACAGACCTTAACATACAGACACACGAGGTCAAAACAAACACACCGATGAAGAAAAACAAACACACGGAACCTAAAACCGGCCTTTCGCAGCTGAATGTCTGTCCTCGCATTAAGACATGTCCGTCGAGCTGTCGTCTCTGAGAACATTAACAGTCTTGTGTTTCCGTCTCCTCCTGAGGGCAAGCAACGACGCAGTAAAAACACATACCGAAACCCACAGATAGTTATTCCTGGTACAGCAACACTGGACAAAACAAAAAAAAAAAAAAAAAACTAAATCGGCTTTACGGACAACAGTGTGTGTGTGTGTGTGTGTGTGTGTGTGTGTGTGTGTGTGTGCACCATGCTTGAGTGTGTTTGCTCTACAACACGCGTGTTAAAACCGGAGTCCAAGTTCCTACTGGAAGCTGTGTGTACACTGCATGCGTCGCTGGAGTCCGCGCCTACGAGTCCTCTTCGCCGTTGACACTTTCGATATCGTCGTCGCCTTCCACGTGCTCTCCTTCCTCCTCCTCATCATCCTCTTCTTCCTCCCTCTCTTGACTCTTCACCTGCAGGTTCAATGAGCAAAAGATTCGTTTTCCATTTCTTGTTACGTTTAAGCCGTGTTATACTCGGTTACAAATGTTTTAAAATGAGATTATTTTAAGGGTTACACCAATATACTGGTTTGCCAGCACTGGTGAACAATATAGAGTTATTAGAAATTCAGTGTAAGCATTGAAAACCTGCCGTTTAAAAAACGTGCTGGCATGAAAATAGCCATTAAGTTAATCAGTAGCTTTAATACAAAAAAAACCAAAAAAAAACATGGCACCTCTTCCTCCTCCAGCAGGTCTCCATCGTCATCGTCGTCCTCTTCGTCAGAGTCGTTCAGCTCCTGGCACTCTCTGTCTCTCTTCGTCATGTCGTCCTTGTTGCTCGTGTGCGGCGGTGAAGTCACCTCGCCCGGCTCCGTTTTTAGGCCCTTAGCTTCTGCCACAAATTCAGATATCAGAGTCAGAGAAACCGTGGCTCTGTGCAACCCATCTGGTCAACGTTAGCAAGAGAAGAAATGTGTAGATAGAAGCAGGAGTCAGACACTGCCCACTAAAAACATACTGCGTTTTCCCCCCATACCCGACTTCTTGCTGTGGTCCTTGTCCATGTGCTCCAGGCTGTTCAGCAGGTCGTCCACTTTGCTTTTGATTTGGCTCAACTCCCGCTTGATGGTCTGCAGCTCGTCCACTTTCACTGCAGAGAAAAAGAAAAAGACCTCAGGGTAATAACAAGTAAATTACCACTGCGCAGTACCCGGATAGTTTTTGCTGGATGGTGCTCCAGATAGTCGTACTTGTTTTGGACGAGGAAGTCCTCTGACCACTCTTGGAGGAAGAGGAGAAGCTGCTCTTTGTTCGCCGGCTGCTTGCTCCGCTCAGGCTGACCCGCGGGCGCTTGGACGGGATCACGGCCCGCGACAACGGGGGAGGAGGAGGGGGAGCGGGGACACGGGACGGGTACGAGTACATCCTGGAATCAAACACAGGACAAATTAAGATTAACAGCGTCTGGTCCAGCAAATGTATTTTATTCAACGAGGTAAAAACCGTGTCACCTGCTCTTAATAGACTTTCAGTTTTACTTTCAGCGTTCACAACGGACTATTTTCATGCATGATTCACAGCAGTGACAAAGGATTCAGGAAATACAGAAAGCATGCCGAGTGACACAATAGATAAGTGTCAGTTTCTTTCAACCTGAAACATTTGACTCACCTGTCGTAGTAATCTCTCTGAAAGTCATAGTCGAGTTCAAATGAGGAACTGCTGCTACAAAAGAGACACAAATGAGTCCATGTGAGCTTTTAGATTTATTGACAATACTCTTGTTTTTGTTAAGCCACGCCCGCTTGTGGTATTTGTCCTGAGTTGGCACAGAGTACCAGCTGGAACGTTGTTAGCATGAGCGTCATTGGGACTGACCTGTACATGTCTCCAGCTGAGCGCTTGGAGGTTTTTGACCGGTGTGGTTTGGGTTCTCCAGCCAGGTTGATGTCTGAGGAGAAAACAGATCACAGAGAGTGATGCAGGGGACTTCACATCGGATCCCTCTCGCTGTCAAGCTGTTTACTAAATCTCATTATTTACCTTTCGTCCAGATTTTTTTTTTAGATATTCAAATAAACAAGAATTGAAGCCAACATGTTGGAGTGATTAACAATGCAGTCACAGTTTTACCAGCACTAGAACATCTTGTATCTCCTTTTTCTTATTGCTGGAGGTTTGTCCAACACAAACTTGAGAGTATTTGTACACTCAAAGTGCATTTGTAATTTCTAGAATGTACTTGACAATTGATATTTTTTGTGGTAAAATATCAGACACGTGATCCAAAGCAGATTTTTTTCTGTCTTAAAACATTTCTGGATCGTTAACTTCGCAGGTGGTCGCAAAAAAAAACAACAAAATCTTTAACATTTCAAAGCTGCAGCCTTGAAAGATGAACTCGTAGTGACGGCGTGTAAAATGTGTTTTTATGTTGTCCATAGCTTTGGCACCAAGGAGTCACACGGTAAAGCCTTTTCAAATTCTACAAGTATGTTTTTCTCTCTTTGCTTTTTTACTTGTGCGAGATACTTGTTAGTATTACCTCATTATGCCTGAATGTTTACTCACCTCAATCAGGAAATATAACCCTTACTATTAAAGACAAACAAATCTAAACCCGACTAAACCATTACAATCATATCACCAACCGGAGAGAAAGGTAGACCCTAGCTGGTCTACACGTGCTAGTTTGTGTTGCTTTTATGAAACAGATGGAGGAGTTTGTACTTTATGAGGGTGATGCCCTTTTAGAGTTACGTTAGCAGAGGAACAACTTGCGTAAATATACTTTAAAATATATCACAGCTGTCAAATTTAACAATAAACTGTGGTGAGTTGAGGTACGACAATAAGCAACCTCATTAACTTTAATAGTTTTGCCAATTTATATAGTCTAAACATGGGTCGCCCCATTTATGTCGTACTCCTTAAACATTGAGGAATTATACCAGTTTTATTATATTTAACAGGTATTATTGATTTCTAAAATATGTGCAAGCCTAAATTTAAACTAGATGGAGAATATGACACGGTAAATATAAGTACCATCTTTAACACAATATCAATACTCGAAATGAGTTTCAACATTTAAATTTTTAGAAACTGGGACATGGAAAGTAGAAGATATTCAGACAGACTTTAAAGGAAAATGCAGATCAGTAATGTGATAGATGCATCATCACTTAATGCATGATCTTATAGGAGCACCATGTGTTTGGGGTTTATTCGTAAGTTCCAGTTAATGTAAACACTATTTAATGTATTGGCTTCTGTCTCTAATGTAAAGACTACACTATTTAACAAAGATGGTGCTAATATAAACGTATCTTCATCTTTTATTTAGTTTTCTTATGGTAAGTAATTTTTCTATTTCTATACTCAAGTATTTGAATTACAAAACTCTAAATCAGATAATGAGATTTGGTCAAATTCGTCACGGTTGGTCAGGTAATGTCACATGGAGGGAAATGAGGCGCTCCTGAGTTATTTTCCACCTGGTCATCGTGTTTCACATAAATTCACACCTGACGTGTTCACACGTCTTTGATGACGATAGTCGCTACAGAGAATGAGGAAGAGGCAAATGGAAAAAATGTTGTTTGATAATGTTGAACAGAGTCTCTATTGTGTGTGTGTGTGTGTGTGTGTGTGTGTGTGTGTGTGTGTGTGTGTGCATGTTGTTCATGTGATTACTGTGAAGCAGCTCGTGTTGTCTCAG